AAAAAACCAACCAAACAAAAAAACTAATCACATTAGAATAGAAGAGATCTTCCTCAATCTGATAAAGGGTACTTTGTAAAATTATATTTTTCAATACTACATCCCATTCACATGCTCTTCTCATGTGTGATTGACACTCACCCCAAGAGGTAGCGACTGTGTTCCCTCCCCTTGAATCTGGCTGAGTGGGCGTATGACTACAGTGGAAGTGATGCTAAGTGACTTCTGAAGTTATAACGTTGAAAAGGCCTCCATCTGGTCGTTTAGAATCCAGCCACCATGCTGTGAGGAAGCCAAGCAGCCCCTGTAGAGGAACTGACAGCCAGCATCAACTTGCCAGCCATTTGAGTAAGCCATCTTCAGAGTGGATCCTCCACCTTTCAGCTGATGCTTTCCCCAAATTGAAAATTCATAAGCTAAAAAAGGATTGTTTTAAGCCACTAAATTTAGGAGGTTTGTTTTTGTTTTATACATACCATTAGATAGCCATAACAGGTATCTATGAAAAACCTACAGTTAGCATCATATTTAATGGTGAAATATTCAGGGCTTTCCCACTAAGGTCAGGATGATGCCCATGTCATAACTGCTATTTGATCAGTGAACTTAGGTAAGGAAATGAAATAAAGAAAAATGTAAGGATCAGAAAGGAAGAAGTAAAACTGCCTCTATTCACAGATGATGCAATTATTTATGAATCTACAAAACAACTACTAGAAATTATAAATGAATTTAGCAAGGTCTCAGGATATAAAGTAAATATAAATAATTATATTTTTATTTACTAGCAGGAAGCAATTGGAAAATAATTTAAAAACAATTTCATTTATAATAGCATCAGAAAATACTAAATACTTAAATTTAACAAAAAATGTGTAAGAACCCTACACTGGCAATTACAAAATGTTGCTTAGTGACATTAAAGAAGATCTATATAAATGGAGAAATAAACCATGAATTCGAAGTCTAGCGATCCAAGATGGTGGAGTAAACACCATGCCTGCTTCCTTCTGTGAACCCACTAAAATTACAAGTAAATATAGAAAATCAACCTTGAGACCCTTCTGAAGTCTGTCTGAACAAAGGGATTTTAAGAAGTCACGTGGAGACTGGTAGGAGGCGTGGAGATGCAAACTGGGCTGGTCCCAAACCTCCGTGTGGTGGTTGAAAATAGGGAAGGATTTCTTGGCTGTGGAGGTTCCTCCCATGGGAGCGAAGGATCCCAGCCCCACTCCAGGCTCTCCAGCACAGGGTACTGATGCTGGGAAGAGGAGTTTCCACAACATCTGGCTGTGAAAAACAGTGCAGATTCCAACAATCTGGGTGGGAAACCCAGATGTCCTTTTTTTTTTTTTTTAAACTGACATTGGGGAATCGGGGGAAGGGGAACAGTCTAGTTGTGGAGGACGTTGCTTCACTGGCCCATGTTGG